TTTCGAGAGTGGCTGGCGACAGTGTTGAAGCGTTATTGACGGCGAGAAACTTCAGAAAACGAAGAATGGCAAGATGATGATTATTATTAACTGGCATTCTCTGCGTCTATCAGTTAGTCGTTGATCGGTTCATGAAAATGAAAATCAACAAAAACATGATCGGCATTCTTCGGGATGACGATGAGATGATTAATTTCACAAGTTCGCTAATTTGCTATGTTATCTCTCAAAGGAAATCGAGGTCTGCTCCTAAACCCTTTTTTTTTTTTTTTTTTTTCACAACTAGATTAAATTATTCAATGTTATAAGAGAGAAGATCGTGGGTATCAAATCTACGCTCTAATGCATAAACATTATTGTTTTTCGTCATTATTGAAATAAAGCGTCATTTGCTAAAAATAGGGCCCTGCCTACCAAGTGCCAAGTTATGGGGTTTGGGCTATGAAAATAGTTGAGGTTCAATCATAAAACTAATTCGCTATAAAGAGAGTAATACAACCGTCTTATAAGCTCTTACAAGATTTATCCTTTCACCAAATGCGAGACTCTTTTATCTTCACATTCTCACATGCCCCTCGCGTGTAGTCAATTTTCAAGTCAAATACATGGAAAACACGAATTAGGTGACGTTGAGCATGTGTGGGGGTTGGGCTTTACATGTGGGCCAACATTTTCTGATACAATGAAGAAAGTTGAGGTTCTACCATAAAACTAATTGGCAATATGAGAAATAGCACAACTTACTTTTAAGCCCATGCAATGTCCGTTTGGGTTCATACATAGGATAACTTGTTATGATACTATAAAGAAAATTGAGGTTCCATTATAAAATCAATTGACAACATAGGAAGTAGTCCAACTTCTTATAAGCTCATATAAAATCTATCGACATGAATACATTCTCAACATTCTTGACTTACATGCATTTTTCATTTTTCTGATTTTATTTTGAACAGCGACAGTCCAACAGTTCAATCCATGGTGTTATTTTGATTAGAAATAGTGCAGTCCACTCCACTCAAATTTACATTAGCAGTATGATAACAGTACAAAATCCAATATGCCTACAGTAGCCAATTTTCTTCTCACAAAAGAGTCAAAACCAATGGTAAAGATCGAATGGAATCAAATTGATAGGGAAACTTGTTTATTTCGTATGGGAGGGAATGAGAAATTTGTTGGGTGTGGGGTGGTAGAGCCAGAGGTGGTAGCCAGGAGGGACCAGGACGTTCACGGTCGATCCACCACAACAGACCATGTGATCAATCACGATCACTATTCTGTTATGTCTTAGTATTTCAACACAGCATGTCATTCCACCACGATGAATCGATCGATCCAATCCATCCATCGATCCCTTCATCCATCTATCTATTCATTCATCAATCCCTCAATTATTAGTAAAAAGATAGCCACGAAACCAACCACTCACCTCTCTTTAGTTAACTTGACATGTTATATACACATTACTTGTCACATCATTTGAAAAACTAATATTTTTTTAGAGAAAATTAGAATCATATGCTTTATTTTAGACTTTTTTAGATTAAACATTTGTTACTTTTCAACTTTATATTAAAGTGTTTTCACTTTTGATTAAACCCTATATTGCAGATATATTCTTAATTTAAGTGTTTTTCAAATTCATTCTTATGTCAAAAATGCAATCAATAATATTAATTTATTTATTTCTATTTTTATGGAAACCCACCCTTCCTAAATTTAAGAATTCAATTATATATCTAAATTATTTGTAACTTTTTTTATACTAAGGGGATGGAGAGTTCGACAAAGCCACACAATGGGCAACCTAATTTGGTATCGAATTCACCATTCATGAGATTCCAACCTAAGATCTCTCACTTTCAAGTAAAGAGGAATACCATCAGACCGTAGTAATGAGTGGCAAAAATTTTCAATTTTTTTTTTTTTTTAACAAATGATTTTATCTACACTAAGGGGAGGAAGCCTCAAATAGGCTAGCAATAATGTAGTTCAAATTTGCCGCGAGAATCAAACTTAAGATCTGTCACATCCCCGCCCGGGGTGGATCACTTCCCGGGCCCACTCCACCACAGTAGCACGATATTGTCCGCTTTGGGACCCAACCACGCCCTCACGGTTTTGTTTCTGGGAACTCACACGAGAACTTCCCGATGGGTCACCCATCCTGGGAATGCTCTCGCGCACTACTCGCTTAACTTCGGAGTTCCCATGGAACCCGAAGCCAGTGAGCTCCCAAAAGGCCTCGTGCTAGGTAGGGATGAGAATATACATATAAGGATCACTCCCATGGGCGATGTGGGATGTCACAAGATCTCTCGATTACAAGTGAAAAAGAATACTACTTGACCTAATTGGCTAAATTATTTGTAACTTTGTTTTATACAAAAATTGTCTGTAACTTTTTTCTTCATTACTGCAACTATTGTCGTTAATGGTTATTTCCCATTCTTCATTTTCATCTCTAGAAATTCAAGTATATCAATTGAAATGTATCATTGCTCTTTGTATCAACATAATTTATTCTCAAATTGAAACGTACCTATGCTAAATTAAAACGTATTCATACCGGATTAAAATGTATGCTTACTAAACTAAATTGAAATATACACATGCCGACCTGAAATGTGCCCATACCAAATTGAAACATACTGATATGTTTTAGAGTTACACATAACTTGCTGTTAGCTATTTACATACCAAAATTATGATAGTATAAACATACTAGTAACTCGGTGCGTATCTAAATAAAAAAATATTAAAATACTAATTTGTACACAAATTTAGATTATCTAACGTAACAGTAATGTAACAATAACGTACCAGCAATGTACCAAAATATTGGTACACTATTTTTTAATTTATTTAGACAAGAAAAAAAAATATATATATATTTGTTATAAATAGGCAAAAGTTAGAGAAATAACATTTGCTAAAGACAAGAGCGAAGCGGGTACAAAATATCACACTATAACTTTAGTAGCTATAACACAAATGATGACAGATAAAGAGAGGGAGGGAGATATACTGATATTATTTCTTTGATTCTTTCTTTCGTAATGTGTGTTTTGATAACACACGGATCACTCTATTTATAGACCTACTTCCATAAGAACATCCAAAAATGATAAGATGGCTACTTTTGACAATATTACAAATATATCACTATCCTTTTCACCTTTTTCCAAATGCATGTGGGTATACTAATGCATATGGGATGTGGGCATACACCATACAGTTTTTACAACAATATCAGGTATGTAACATCATTTGGAGTACATTGATACGTCTAAAATATCACCGTTAGGAGTACATTTGCACACATAATTCAACCTTATTTTTTCATATTATAGAATTTTTTTTTTCTTTTGAAATATATTGAATTAATGAGACACAAATTAATAATATCTTCTTTTACAAGATTTTAGGAATTTGTTATATATTGAATATAATTAGTAAATTAATTATAATAACAATTTGTGTAATTTAAAATAATTTGTAAATTAATTAAAATTGTATAAAAGTAGTTTGATAAAATCTCTAAAACCTTAGACCATCTCTAAAGGAGATGCCAAATATGTCAAATAAGATTAAAAGACATTCAAGTGTTGTCCCATGGATATGCCATATATGATGTGGCATGTGAGTCATTTGACTCCTTACTTTCTAGCTGCCTTTTTTTTATAGCAAACAAAGAAGGAATCAAATATATTTAATTTTTTAATGCATGGATCCCATTAACAACCAATAAAATAAAAACTAAAACTAATTTTGATATTTTTTTAATAGTTAATATCACTCTAGGCCTAATAAAATAATAAAATAAATATTTGACACATCCATTGGAAAAGAAGAAGATTTAGCACTTGTATTCAATTTGCCACATCAGCCATCAAATAAAATTTTGACATACTATATTTGACATATCATTTGGAGATGCTTTTAGATGTTTGGTCTAAATAATTCAACCCAAGCGTCTAGATGAAAAAACCCCTAATTTTTATTTATTTTAATGGATGACAATAAATAAAGTCCTATTAAAGGAATATGCAATAAGCTTCTTAGACCATCTCTAATTATTGGGTTAAAATCTAAAATTTCTAACCTAAAAAAAATTTAGGTTTATCCTGAAACATTTTGCTGCTCTAACATTTTTGGGTTAAATTTTTAGCATGAGATTATTAAAGAATAAATTTGGGACAATTTTTTCTTAAAGCAACTTTTTGAAGAAAAAAAAATTATGTAGACTACCCAATTTAATTTTATGAACATTTTAACTTAAAAATATTTAGATTCCAATAAAAATTGAAAAATCACTAAACCAACATCATGAAACTCATAAAACTCATAAAATACTATGAAATAATTTTTTTTAGTTATTTTAGTCGTGAGATTCAAATTTGGACCATTAGATCTTTTTTTTTTATTGAATTTGATCATATTAAACTAAAAAAAATACACATATGTAATAAGTCAGCCCATTAACTCATGGAAAATTCTGACCTAAATTTCCCCAAAAGAAAAAGAGTTTTTGGTCTATGGGTTAGAACAAGTTAGGATAATTTTAGGGTCAAAACTCATACTTGCCCCAGTCCTGGCCAGTGGGCTTCAGACATCACTAAATTTGGCCTAAATCCTCGCCAGAATTTGGCTTTTTTTTTTTTTTTTTGAAGTTTTTACACATTAACCCCATTTTAGCACAAGGGTTGGAATAAAATTGGGGAATAGGGGGGATAGAAAAGAAATTTTGAGACTTAATCCGAGAGTTGGAGTTGGTATTGGAATCTAAAATTTGATTCTTACTTCAAGAGTTAGAGTAGGTCTTATAATATGAATATTTGTTCATTAAAAAAAAAAAAAAACATCATACGAATATCAGCAATGGGATAAGCAAACAAGTTTCCCTGCTCGATCTACTTGATTGATTCTCTATATATATATGCACTATGCAGCAGCACAACCACACAAAAAAAAAAAAAAAAAAAAAAAAAAAAAACTGCTATTAATATGGTGATGCTGATTCCTGAAAAGATGAATAATTTACAAGTACATGTGACTTCACCAGAAATGTATTCGTACACAACATGAAATACATAGTTAGGAACAAATGAAACCGATAAAGGGAAAAGAAAAATCAAAATGTATACAGAAAGAATATAACCTTAAAGCTGTTCCTTTAGAACCAAAAATAAATAAATAATCCTACCGAGAAAGAAAGGCAAACCTGTGGCATTTTATAGCAAATTGCCCAAAACACTTCAAAATTACCACAAGAGCCATTCTATGGATTGATGTTGCACTCTCGCATGTACGTATGATCATAGTCAACAAATTTTGCCCAGTAATTTCGGTATTTCGGTATGCCTATCTCAAGCCACGGTTTCATGTTGCCATTGTAGTGTATTACAGCTGCTCCATCAATTTCCTTCTGGTTAACACTAGGGTTATAACCAAGGCCCAGCACGTGCCAGGAGCGGTCCAGTGGGTATGTGCGTTTCCAAAACGTTATGAGACCAGGTGGTAGCGTTCACAATTTCCACAGTTGTCTATCATGATTCTGTGCACAAAAACTTCGTTCAGACTAGGAAACAATTTAATTCAAGTCACTAAAGTATAGCTCTCATCAGAGAATGCTGGAAGGGGGCAACAAGCAAGACGTCTTAGAGGTTTGACAATATTGGTCTGATTAATGCTAATCCATTCTTAGAGCTCCAAATCTCTGTGTGAATAGAGATGTTATCCTAACATTTTACACGACCATCCGTCGATTGATGCCTATGGTGCTCTGACAATCAGCTCAAGATTCAAAAACTTTATTGCACATTTATATTAAAATGCTAACGAAAGTTAAATAGTCAAGTCAATCATTTCATATTTCCCAAAAAAAAAAAAAAATCTGAAACCATTTTTCTTACCAGCTTCTGCCATCCGTGGTACACTTCTGTGATGTTTTGCTTCTTCCATTCCTCCAAATCAAATATATTCATACCATATGCCCATCCACAAGCATGGGCATCAAAATTCTTTGAGATTAGAGGATTTGAAAAGTTAAGATACCGATCAAAGCGATGGAAGCTTTCTCCACAACTCTCCACAGCACCATTAACATTTCCCTTCAAGTCAAGGGACCATAAAGCAGTAAGGTCCTTTTTTACAACTACGTCATCATCCAAGAATAGAACTTTGTTGAGCTTCGGGAAGATCTCTGGAAGGTAAAAGCGGAGATGGTTCAGGATAGACAAGTACTTCGGGTTTTGGAACTTCAAATTTGAATCAGAATTGGTCCGATGAGTCCTAAAGTAATAATCTATCATGGATGCAGAACCCAACTGCTTCATAACTGGACTGTAGCTTGTATTCAACCATGAAAATTCTTCAGTGTTTTGAACCTGAATAGTGGCCTGGCCCGGTGAATTTACCAAAACCACATTCTCATAGCAGCATAATTGAGCCTGTCAGTGATAATGTGGAAAACATGGTTTGCAGGGTCCTGTCAATGTTCCAAGCAGGGTAGTCAGGTAAAGATGTCAACCAAAAGAATAGGTCCTGACATGGACAATAGATTCTTGATTGGTAGACTAGGGTTCTTTTTACTTAATCGTTCTTTATAATTTTCTTTCACTTGCAATCGGGACAACTGAAAAAACATGAGAATCTCTCTACATCACCTTAGCATGGGTGACAGTTGAGTTTACAACAACCGCTGCAGCCAATACATTGTCCGAGAATAATGAATAATGGTACATCCGGGAATCTTCTAATTTCTCTTGATTGGGAAACTTCTGCTGAGAAGAATTTAAGGTATAGTACTCAGTGGTAAGGCGCAATGGAAGACAGTGAAGTCCCTTTGGAAGTGTTTTTGCGGTTAATTGCATCAAGAACATAGCCTGCTTCTTGTGCACCCGGAGTTGCTCTTCCATTGAATGGAGCATAGCCCGAAGCTTTTTCACCATAGCAGCGCAGTTGTCTTGAATCTGCTTTCCTTTAGTCAATGTCTGTTCCATTGCCTTCAACTTGTCGTAGGCGCTGTATTAGTAGCAATAATTGTTACGGAATCAATTTAAAAAAAACAAAGAAAAGGGAGTTTTAGGTGGAAATAGAAATATAGAAAGATAAAATGTTACATTTTAAACAGGGAACTAATAAGGATATCAACAAATATATTCATGAACAAAAAGGAACGACAAACTTGGGCCAGGTAGCAGTGCTACTTTCTTTTAAGAGAAGACATACTTCCTTGGGAGATCAGAATCCTTGCTTGCATCCCCAAGTGTTTTTTGAACTTCTTTTATCCGCAGCCGAATCTCCCTTGTGAAATGGGGGTTGTTTCTTGTGGCTGGAAGAGAGAGGTAAACCTTTGCCCTGATAAGCTGGTCTTTAAGATGTCGTACCTGTCCATTTGGGATGGCCGTTTCATCATTTTGTTTTGCAGTCATAGTTTTTGTGGGTCTTCTTCGATCAACCTTGCTGGAGGTTTGAGTGGATTGTTGCTCAGGTTTTGTTTCCTAAAAGAAGAAGCAGAGCCACGAAAGAAGAGAGAAACAAGAAGCATGAATCAATCTCTTATCTAATTGCAAGAAGGAAGGAAATTCTAAAACAAGTTAGTACAAAAAAATGGATTCTATTTATTGCATAAACATTCGCATTTGGCAATTAGAAGTTTGAAAAAGGACAAGCATTTCTAATAGTGAGCCAGGAATAGCATTGGTCTAAAGGGAAATGGAAGAATCCATACCCTAGTCCGAGAGGCATCATCGATATTTTGCTCAGAAGCTCCTATTTTGGCATCGGACTCGGACAGAAACTGATTTCCTTGCTCAAGTGTTTTAGTGACCTGTCTGATCGGGTCATATGTTTGAGACAGATCCGGGTCAGTGGTGGTAGATAACATTCTAGCTGATACATGCTCCATGGAGTCGACTAACCGCCCATCTAAGAAGTAAATGGAGATCCTCTAATTAAAAAGAAGAAATCACAGAAATAAAAAAAGGGGGCAGGCAGGCAGGCACTCAGTTGAGGAGTAAAATAAATGATGATAACCTTGATGTGGATGAGAGTGATTGGGGTGGGCGGAGGTCCCCTTTGCCCCTGGTAATGAATCAGTGGAGTTGTCGGAATATACGACTCCTACTGGTTCTTTAGGCCTTGTGGTTGTGGATGACTCCTATGCTCAAGAAACAAAAAGCACAAATAAAGATCCGAAAGTTGAGTCCTTCATTTGTGTGTGAATGCGTGTGGTGCTAGAAAAGGAAGAAGGGAATGTAATTAGAGATAAACCTGAGGAAGCAGATTTAGATGGGCAGTAGTATGAGCCGCATTTGCAGGCTGTGAAGAAATTTCAAAAATTCAAAGACATTAACTCAACCAACAAGAAAGAGGTCATCGAGAACGAAAACAAAAAGGAAACAACTTACAAAGGCTGTAACATCTTCAACGAAATCGTCGTCTCCAGCTGCAGAGAAAGGAAAAGGAGCAGCATTGGGAGTTAGGGATTATTTAATTTTAAAAAGAACAAAGGGATTAGAAGAAGAAGAAGAAGTTGTTAGATGACAGACTTACAGGAGGAGGAGGAAGGGGCCTGGATGGAGATGGAGGCAAGGCGATCAGTGTAAAGAGTAATGGGAGCAATAACCGTTACAAACAACATGACCATCACCATATTCCTCACCATCATCTTTTCTTTTCTAAAAATAAAAAAGAAATGGAAGTCACCGACACGACACCCAGAGGCACTGAGGCACTCGCAGGTGGGAGATTTTTGGGGCAAACAGCCGTCGCAGCTCTTCTTAATGCAGAGGTGGTAGTGGTTTCTCCTTCTCCTCTGGTGGTGGATTGAATGATAGATTTGATTATCCTTCCTTTGACTTCGATCCCTCTCTCGCCGATCTCCCTCAAAAAGTAAAGGTAGAGGAATAAAATAAATTTAAGTCGTCGTCGTCTAAGTTCTAACACAAACAAATAACAAGCAGAGAGCAAATGATAAACGGACGGACAGTCACTCGACTCGCTCTCTTTCCCTTCCTACAACTTACAGTTACAACTCAAAACTTATAACAAAACGGAAAGATATGAAAATGAGAAGTTCAGACGGCAGAGAGACAAAAAAAAGTCGAAACATTTAGAAAAATAATTAAAATTCGAATTATATATAGAATTGTAGTCGTCTTTTTTAAAGTTAGGATAATTATAATAAAAAGTACTAATATATTTAAATTTTCACTTTTATATTAACTTTTAGCTATAGCTAGTTTAAACTTGGAAATGTGAATATAATTCTATATAGATTTTCATAAATTTCAACAAAATCGGCGGGTCCTCTCTTCATAAATAAAGGGGCAGTTTGATCGCGGTCCAAAAAATTCACCTGCTTTCCAATTGGGTCTAATTTTATTTGATTTTTTATTACACCTATTTTGCCCCTTGAAAATAAAAAATATTTAAATTCTTTATTTTTGAATTTAAAAAATTTTAAATTTGAATATTCAAATACCTTTATCTACCCATTTTCTAATTAAAAACATTTTAAAAACACATTACAACCAATCTTATAAGTTTATCAAAAATTAAAAGAAAAGTTGTCGGGGTAGATAAAAAATTTGTGATGTAGGTAGATAATATTAATTAATCTATGGTATAGGTAGACTATGAATAAAAACCCATCATATAGATAGATAACACAAAATAATATGTGATATAGATAGACTAATGAGCAAAAACATATCGTATAGGTAGATAAAATACAATTAATCTATAACACAGGTAAAATAAACAAAATATACAAATAGATTCATTACAAAAATATATAATACAAGTAGATAAACAAAATATACAACATCTATCTTGCGGTTCTGTATTTTGAAGATGGGCTATGGACACGAGTTTTCCTCTACATAATCTTGTGTGATGTTATCGATTTCCACATAACTAGGATCTTCTTTGTTCTGGTTATAGAAAGGGTGAAACTTTTTTTTCTTTTTTTTTGGCTCGTTCTAGTTTCTATATGCTAGATCCTAACAGTGTACATTTTATAAATCTTGACAACCACTATACTTGAATTTCATAAGGCGAATGAGTTGATTTAGTATCCTTGATGTTGACTCGGATCCATCTGCCTGGTTTGGAATTTGTTCAGCCTGAAGTTACCGGTTGTTTCAGTGTTGACAAGTTTTATTGTTTCTGATTTTAGAGTAGTTGAATCTCTGTTACGTTAGGCTTGGCCTTTTCATTCCTTTTGAATTGAGACATTCTTATTGAGCAAGATGTTGGTTTCAATTTCCTTTTGCATGTGGGCTGGTTTCAATTTCCTTATGCATGTGGGCTATGGCTGTTTAATCTATCTTGGGAAGAGAATATTTTTCTGGAAATTTTAAAACTTGAAAGAAAAGACTGAACAAGAAGGAAGGGATCGGAGAACGCAACACAAATTGTATATAAGAGTTATGGAAGAAGAGATATACTTTAAAACTAATTCTACAAGTAGGGGATTATTTAAAGATAAATAATTAATTTCATAATACAAGTAAATCTAGAATTAAACGATAATGTTAATAGAGGGGTAATTTTGACAAAAAAATGAAAATAAAATGACGTGGACAATGAATCACTGAACTTAAATTAATAATTAAATAAAATTGAATTATATCTAGTAATTACTTACAAATTTGAACTTATTTCAAGTTTCTTCATAAATAAAACAAAAATAGTTATAATAGATGGATGGAATATTGATGATAGACAGAAGCCCACTTATTACAAATATAGAATAAATACCACTTGGTTTTGCAATATTACACTTTCACCATGAGATCTTGTACGCTTTTGCGTTTTTGGCCAAGTTAGCAAAGAATCTTCTATTATATATTAAAGCCAACAATGTGATGAACAGTGTGCATGTTCACAAAAAGATTGGGATCATGCGCTTCGACAAAAATAATTTGACCAAAATGCCCCTACGCCAAAAAAATCAAAACAGCAAAAATGAATGCATAATATAATACAAGGGTAATTTTGTAAATTTACTTTTAAATAATACCCTGCCTCTTTCTTCCACATCGTTTCATTTGTTCCTCCTCCTCGGTTTCTACCTTTCTATCCACCACCATCCGTGAAGCCTTTCTTTTAACCTGTTCTTGGTTTTTTAAACCAGAGATAGATTGTTTGCCCTCTCATTTTCATACTCTTCTTATACCTTCTTGTTTGTAGTTTGTGTGATTACAGTTAAGCCATATTAACATTTTATATTCTTATTACTTTTTGTTTTATTATTTTTATAAAAAAATTAATATAAAATATTAACGTAACTTAACTGTGACCACACAAACAGAAGACATAAAGAGATTATGGAAATGCAAGAACTGCAATCCACCTCCTTATTACATGGTTTGTGGCACAGAAAAGGATAAATAAAAAAATGATAAAAAATCGGTTATAGGATGAAAAAATGATTAAAAAATATCAGAAGTTAAACACGGCTACAGGATTGTGGCACAAAGACGATAAAAAATGATAAAGAACGTGTACACGTGTTGGTCATCGCGGGAAGGGAAAAGTTCGGCCTTTCCATTTGTTTCCAGAACGAGGCTTTTCCATTTGTTTCCAGAAGGATCTCTCCCGTTCTCTCTCAAAACCGTGAACCACAAACCACGAACCACAACATCCTTCTCAGTTCGACGGCATCTCATCCCTCCTCCTCCGTTGTACAACATCTCGCCCTCCAGGCTCCTCTCTCCTTCCTCCTCCTCCGTTGGGCAGCATCTCCTCCGCTCTTTCTCATGGGTATTTTTTTTCATCTTTGTATTTCCTCAGATCCCTTCTGCTTTTACCAATTACCGCGTATAAATACAACATAATCTCCACTCTCTCTCATATCCTTCCCACTAGGCGATGATGGCAGCGAGGGGCATCTCGCTCCGCGTTGTCGAAGGCCAGGTCTCTTCCTCTGCTTCCACTCCATTCATTTTATTTTTTTATTTTTCATCTTGAAAAATGAAAAAAGGCTTGGCTTTCTGATTTTCCAATGCTATTATATATACTTTCTTATTTATGGAAATTAGTTCTGATTTTCCAGTTCACCCAAACCGAATTTTGACTTTTGGTCGATTTTCAGCTATTCCACTCCATACACAACCAAACGCCAGAACAAGGTAATGTGTCTCACTCTCAGTCTTTGTTTTATCTACCCTTTTGTTTATTTAGGCTGAAAGATTCCAAGAATTATAATTTAGAAACTGCAAAGCAGTGGGTTGTGGGTCTATGTTTCTAACTGTTAATGAGTTGGATTTTTGAAGGTAAGAATTCAAAAGTGGGTACTTTTTGGTTATTTGGTGCATTAGGTTTTTGTAGTTTGAGGAGAATTTTTAACAGTGGCCACATCTGAATGAGCTGGTGTAGTGCTACACCACAAACTGGATGAAGGTCACAATAAGTATTAGTCACTACGAGAGCGTTGGACTGTCCTCATTCTGGAACCAGGTTTAAGAGGGCCCTGACACTAACATTGAAACCGGTATATAACCCTCTTCTTTTCGTCTTTTAGTCTTTCGCTTACTCAAGCATATGCTGTCATTTAAAATTAGTGGTCCGGTTAATGTACCTACAGTATCAGTAGTTCCTCTCTTTTTAATAGAGTTATTCCCCTTCTTGCGCACGTAAAATCTTCATGTTTGTAAATGCACACATCATATGACTTTTAACACAAGTCTTGCTTCTATCATTTGATGTTGCTGTGGGACTTTGAGTATTATCTTCAACAACTTCACTAGAGGACGCGCTTTTAGTGAGGTGGTGGTTGAAGCAAAGCAGGCAGGTTGAAGCAAAGCAAAGCAACAAATATAGGGGTAACTGTTTAATTAATCTATTAATTTTAATGCATTTCTTGAGTTATAAATATGGTGAACCCATTATTCAATACTAGCTCAATAATCATAATGTTCTTCTCTGACTTTGTGTTTGAATTTTGATATATAATCTATTTGAGTTTTCTATAGAGAATAATCTTTTGGTACTTGCTGCTTTTGTATTATTAAATTTTAACACTAGCAATTTGCTCTATGTATATAATGTGTTGACTTTGTATAATAATTGCAGCCTTTTGAAAAAACTGAGTTGCCCAGGCTGATCAAAGAGAAATCAGTTCTTAGTCACAATCATATAAAAAACATGATATACAAGGTATAGAAGAAATATGTGCAACTTTGAATTTAATGAATTGTGGTGTTTTGTCTTCTGAATTTCTAACCTATTAATATTGGAAGACCTAAAAGATTATTCCAACGTCTCGTTTCTGGATTTATTCAAATTTGTAGTGAAATGATGGTATTTATAAATTTTAATTTATTTTTTCTACGATTACATGTTGATGCAGATTTATTCTGTACGATTCTCTGGTTAGGGTAAGCATTTTGTTGAGCTTTGATTTTGTGAGGGTAAGCTCTTAATCTTTCCTCTATCGTTTTGTTGTTCATCCTATTGTTGTAATTTACTTGCTGTTTGTGATGGAAACAATTTGGTCTTTTCTCTTTACTAGAGGTTTGAGTGGCTTTGTCATAGAGATATTTCAGAAGGGAATCAGACTTTCCAAGTAAGATAAAGATGATACAAAACTATATATGACTGTCTTCTTATCTAATTAATTTCAATCTGTATTTAATACAAATAATTATTTTGGTAGATATGGAATACTTTCGTTAGATCCTTAGGAGTAAAGTGTTTGCCTTTTTTTTATAGCAACTATTTCGAGGTTTGATTCATAGGGTGAACATTGAATTTATCCACGTTAAAGGGACACGGTTAGTACGTTAAAAGTTCTGTTACATTATTTTCATAGAATTAAGAGATAATTTTATGCTTATATTGAATATTCATTCATGATCACATATTTATACGAGTACAATCTTTTATTGTTTTATCTCATTTGGGATTTTACGTTTTAGTGAATGTACAGTTTTCATCTCATTTGAGATTCTACTTCTTAAATGTTGTCAATGAATATATGAATATATCCATTCCTATTAATAGTGCTGCTCTAACAAGCTCGTGATTTACAGTTTCAAGACTAATGCTTTAAGTTCGTGATTTACAAAGTTAGCAAATGCTAAGGTAATTGTTTCTAATCTATAAATTCATACTCTCACTGGGTTGTAGCTTTGCTAATTAAATTTCTATCGTAACTTAAACTGTTTTCACTTTTTTTTTTTAATTGAAGTAAACGCAACACCATATGATTTAAAATGAAAGACAATAAACCACGATTGATATTTTATTTGTCTTGAATGCAGCTTTTACTAGCTCAGTTCATGGGACAACATCTGCTACCTCAACCAACAGTACAGGACGAAAACTTTTCATGTTCCAGTCGTAATCTTTTTTGTATGTAAACATCTTCCTAACGTTTTCAACGTAAATAATATTAATCTTCTATGTCATGCCGACAACGGTTTTTATCAAAATGTACGAGTTTTCATAAGAAATGTTGTGTACAAAGATATTTTGCTGTACATTCAATTTTTTAATGTTTAATTCATTTTTCAAATTCACATAGATAAATACATTTAAATTGTATAAATTATGCGTAAAATAATGTCATTATAGAAGAGCCGTCCGTGTGCAGGTGCGGAAGGCTAGTAATCAATAATCCTAGCGCGTGAGCAGGCCGCGTCAACGACTCAACAACACGTGAGATACTGCCACGTACGTCCAACACCAAGATACCCGTGATTGAAGCTGGGCGCTGTTTTTTCCTTTATCTGTTTATTGATTGATTTGTTTAATGAGATAAGCTCAAACACTGGAAGAGTGAAACTGAAATTGAACACAGCAAAGGACACGAGGAGAAATTATGGGATATTACAGTACCACCACGTGCACTGGAACTAACCAATAAGTACCTGACACGAGACAGAATATTAAATGCTTCAATCAGATCATCCAGCTATCCACCCCTCTCACAGATGAACTCCCACCCATATCTTCAATGACAGTGCCATTTGAATACAAACCGCCTTTCAATTTCTGGTTAGATCATCTTCAACTAAAGGGTTTAGAGGGTTAGAGGATTGAAAATAGTTTGAAAATCATCTTCGACCAAGGGCTAGGCCAGAGGGTTGTAGAATCTGAGAGGGTTCCACGAAATCGAATAGGGCTGGAGGGCTAGTTGCATGCACCTACCCACCCACCCAGCCCGAGGCTGGCCAAAAAAATCGTCTTTCCCGTCGGTTATAATCGACAGGAATGCTTAAGAAAAAAATTCAAATGCAATAGTTAGCCGATGTCAGCTAGTCATTGCATTTGAATATTTTTTTTTTTTTTACAATTTTTTTTTTATTTACAAAATTTTTCCTATAACTTCTATTTTTCATATTTTTTTTTAAATTCTATTTTTTTTCCTATAATTTTTATTTTACAAAATTTGTTTCATATTTTTTTTTAATTCCATTTTTTCCTATAACTTTTATTTCACAAAATTGGTTTTATTTTATTTTAAATTCTATTTTTATCCTATAACTTCTATTTCACAAAATTTGTTTCATATATTTTTTTTAAATTATATTTTTTTTTCTGTAACTTCCTAAGTCATTATACAACATTAAATTAAATTAAGTAACATGAAACAACATTAAACAATATCAAACAACATTAAATAACATTAACCAACAAACAAATTATACAACATAAAAAAAACATTTAACAACATTAAACTTAAACAACATTTTTAAAAACATTTAAGATAAAACTTAAACACCTATTCCATGCTTCTTTTGGCCCAAAGATGTATAACAAGATCCTGTTGTATATCAGATTGGCATGCAACATCGCTTTGTTTCGTGGTGTGTAAGAGCGACCAGCAATAGAGCCACCCCATTGAGGTTGTTCCTCAGTTGGTTGACACACCATGGTCGCAGCCATGGCTGCTGCTCTGTTTTGTTTGTTGCGCCTTACTTGAACTTCTTCATCAGACTCCTCATCTTCTCGTCTCATTTGCGCCCATTTTGCTTCCAATTTGGAATTGGATAAGGACCCCCAGTTGGAATTCATTGCAAACTTGAATTGAAAAAGATTGAATTCAAAGTTGTGTGAATTATAGCCAATATCCACTCTATTTATAGCAAAAGAAAAATTCAAATCCAACGGCTAGCTGACGTTAGCATGATGTCAGCTACCAACGGCTAGCTGAAGTCACTTAGCCGTTAGATTTGAATTTGAGTTGTAGTTTTTAAATAATAAATTATGTTTGGCCCTATGGCCCTTGGTTGGAGACGGAGGCAAATATGGCCTGTATTGTTCATTAAATTATTAATTTTTTGGAGGGCTAAAGGGCTAAAACGAGCCCTCTGGCCAGCGGTCGGTTGGAAATGGCCTTAATCCGCTCCTTGAAGCAACTCCATTGCTGCAACTACGCTTCGAGATAAGCTTGGGATTAAACTTCTCGTTACTTTTAACATAACTCTTGCTCCTGAAATCCGAAGGCCCCGAATTCCTATTCCCCAATGATTTTACAGGAAACCACTACCACCATCACTTCCTCGACCACCACCATATCGATCAAAACCAGCTGAAACTCCTATTTTCAGACCTCAAACAAGATTTTTGATCCAAAACACACCTCCGAATCCGGAACCTTTTGGGGTTCTCTCTTCTAGGGCCGATCCTAAGTTTTTTGGTGCCTAATGCAAAAGTTCAAAATGTGCCTTTTTTTAATATGGAAACATATGTTTAAAAAAATATATTTAATGAGGGTCAGAACCCAGACGAAGCTAGGGGCTAGACCCTCATGCTCAAATTATATTACTTGAGAAAATATACAACGGGGGGACATAGTACCTAAATCCCGACTATCAGAAGTACAATCATATACAACCACTCCTAACAAAGCTCCTTGAAATTTCAACCTTTGAGAAATTGTCTTTTGGCATTTTTTTTAAGCAAAATCATCAATTATATCATCATACTCCAAGTCTTCAATCTCATCATTTTCAATGCATAAGATTGCTAATCCATTTAGCCTATCTTGAGTCATAGTGGTCTTCAAGTAAGATTTTAATAATTTCAATTTTTAAAAACTTCTTTCTGCAGATGCATGAGCCATTTCCTATCATAAATTTCACCCGTTCATAATTTTCAATCATAGTAGTATGAGGAAATTTTTCTAGAGAGTTTGTCCTTAGGATAAGTGATATTAGTTTCTCGAATTTGTCCATTTTCTACAAGTAAGTCTCTCATTTCTACATTAAGATCATCTCAAACTTTTGTATCATAAAGGTTTAAATGGAAAATAGGTTTAGGAGATTCAATATTTTCCTCTACACCAATATGATTATTATCAACATTTAAATCCACATCACCACCATTTTCATGGTCTTGACACTCATCACCAACATTTTCCTCTAAATCACCACCATTTTCATGGTCCTGGGACTCGTCATTAACATCTTTCTCCACATAACCACCAATTTCATGATCATGAGACTCCCCAACAACATTTTGTGACTCTTCACCAACAACATTTTCTTTAAGATTTTTAACCGACTCATTCTTTATAGAAATTTTTTTATTAAGAGATCCTCTTAAACTTTCGGCAATTTCGTTATCTTTTGCCCTTTTTTTTCCCTTTTCATATTACCATATAGTTGTTTCCTAAAAGACATGACTTCGATAATTTGTTTGCAAAAATTACCTACACATGATATAACAAAAATTTCCTATCAAAATTATCATTCCAACACATATTATATATTATAAAAACCCAAACATCTATTATATATTATAAAAGCACTAACACATAGTCTAACATATTAGAAAATTTGATAAAACTGAACCTAAAAATTGGGTTTGAAATGAAATCAAATAATTCAATTAATCAAGAATTCAATTCATGTCACATCCCGACCCGGGCGGGACCACTTCCCAGGCCCGACTCCACCGTAGCACGATATTGTCCGCTTTGGGCTTACCATTCCCTCACGGTTTTGTTTTTGGGAACTCACGAGCAACTTCCTAGTGGGTCATCCATCACGGGATTGCTCTAGCCCCCTTCTCGCTTAACTTCGGAGTTCCTACGAAACCCGAAGCCAGTGAGCTCCCAAAAGGCCTCGTGCTAGGTAGAGATGGGAATATACATATAAGGATCACTCCCCTGGGCGATGTGGGATGTCACAATCCACCCCCCTTAGGGGCCCGACGTCCTCGTCGGCACACCACGGCCAGGGTTAGGCTCTGATACCATATTGTCACATCCTAGCCCGGGCGGGACCACTTCCTGGGCCCGACTCCACCGTAGCACGATATTGTTCGCTTTGGGCTTACCATTCCCTCACGGTTTTGTTTTTGGGAACTCACGAGCAACTTCCCAGTGGATCACCCATCATGGGATTGCTCTAGCCCCCTTCTCGCTTAACTTCGGAGTTCCTACGGAACCCGAAGCCAATGAGCTCCCAAAAGGCCTCGTGCTAGGTAGAGATGAGAATATATATATAAGGATCACTCTCCTGGGCGATGTGGGATGTCACAATTCATTAATAACAACAATTATATACATCAATTATCATATAATTCCATGTCACTTGCAAATTTTTATTTTAAATTATGAATTAATAATTCAAATTTTAAATATTAGTTTACCTCAAAACTCAAAAGGGTTGGTGAATGAGAAGGACCTGTCGGGCTTGCTGGCTTGGAAGTTGCAGCGCAACAGCTTGCAATGAGTTTTGAGAGTTAAATTGCTGCACTTGTAGCCAATGGATAGGAGAAAAGGACAAAGACGGCAGGCATGGCAGTGGGGAAAGTGGGAAACAAAGTGGAGTAGGAAATCGGGAAAAATGAAGATGTGTCAGGAACTTAGGGTTACTTGGGGACTAGTGGTCCCCATTATGTTTTTTTTTTCTTTTTTTTAATGACCCAAAACCTAGGTCGTTCAACTCTTTTGTCAAACTTGGGCTCTTGCCCTCCAACCCCTATTTTGGACTTTGGATAAAATATTTTTTTCCTTATACCTAATTATATGAATTTTTATTTTTGGGTGCCCCTTTCAATTTTGGGCCTTGGACAACTGCCCTGATAGCATTGGGCCTGAGCCAGACCTGGTCTCTTTTGGCTCACTCAAATTTTGTTCAGAATCAGCTAAATATCTGTAACTTTCATCAATTATGACCCGAAACCCACCTCCATTTTCAACATCGATACGGATTTCCAGATCTGGGTTGGACCTAAAAACCAAAGGAGAGTTGCATTCCAAGTCAATCATAGGCTGAAACAGATCAAAGGAGAAGAAAAACGGAGCTGGACCTGGGTGAGAGGAAGCACACTCTTTCTCAGTCCAAAAGCGCCTTCGGAGCTTCTTCATCTTGTGACGGCACAGTATGGCAGAGCAAAAAATAAGGAGAAACCCCTAACGGCTGTAGAGGGAGATTGTACCCAAACGTCAAATTTTCATTTAACATTACTCTATCAGTGCACTTGTTGGTAGGTACTATCAACTGTTAGTGTCACGTGATGGTACCATCTAATAATTTCTCAAAAGGAAATGATCGCAACAAATTCACAATCCAAAATCGCAACGAATCCATCCATTTTAATTCGAAATGCATGCATATATGTATATTCCATTAAGCACGTCAACGGCACTCGACACCATATATACATATTGTGCATCATTTCAATTTTCCTTACATAATTAATAATACATTATTTGATTGAAAAAATCATATGACATTACCCTCCAAAGACAGGATATAGTTGCCCCCTGGACTGTCGGCACAACTAACATAACGCTAGACATCAGTTATTGCTGGTGCTGGGCCATTCCCTCTTTTCCTCCGCTTACTTTATTGTCCACCCCGTTTAAGTTGTCCCACCTATT